AAAAATCGTTAGTATTAAAAAATGGTTAAATAAACAATTGGATATTAATATTGAAAGTCTCCTGAAGGGAACCAGAGTTTTCCAATTGAAAAATATTGATTTTCAATAATTCTATACCTTTTCTACGAAAAGTGGTTTTTTCCCCATATAAAAATATATGGAAAACTTTGAGCGCTTTGAGCGACCTATAAATATTTTTTGATCTCAAAATTAAAAATATTAGGATATACTTTTTTCGATATATGTAGAACAATCCTAGGGTGTGAGAGCATTACAAATCCGACTTTACTGTTTTGGGACCACCCTAAAGTGCATGTGTACTTACATATTTACATATTAATACTAGTCGATTTTCGCTTATGCTGTTTAAAGTAATTTCGTATCATTTAATTTTTCATGAAGCTAGTCATTTCCCTTCATTTTGATTTTTACAGTTGAAGCGAATGCAATGAATCGCGCCAGTGGGGATAAAAGTAGTGATGATGACGTTGGTAAACGTAATGACACATTTCAATTTGATAAATCGGGTGATATAGAAGCTGCAGATGCACAAGCCTATTTGGATCATTTACTGAGCGATGGTGCGTTAGAGGGAGACAGTGGGGCGCCAATAGAAATGCCGCCATGGTACGATGAGAACCTATTCAAAAAGTGAGTGTACAATGCGAGTGTAAAATTAAAGCAAGCAAAAATTTGCTTAACAATGTGCGGTGTTGTTTACCCAAAGAATGCCTTAACTCGAGAAATGTTTTTTGATTTATAAACATCTTTGCTCCTGACAGATAAATTTGCGTAAACCGTCACTCGTAAACTAAGATAAATTCCGATGTAGTAATGTAATTAGCTGCTCTAGCAACTCTGTTCGTTGGTATACATATCGCACACCATCTTCAAAGGTGACACAACTTAAAATTACACGTTTGTCAGAAAATGCGAAAAACTATTTCTTAGCACATGCTAATTATATGTGCAAGGGAGAATTTACCTTAGGGTTTTTCAACAAATTTCTCCAGCTTTTAGTGAAAGGTAAATAAAAGCTCTGTGTACATTTTTAGTGCATAGTTTCAAAAATGCCAAATTTTGAGTTGTGCCACTATTGAAGATCGTGTGCGATATGTACATACATGATTCGGGACCATTTCGGAAGTAGTTCAGGACTTTTCGGGACCATTTTGGTACTAGTTCGAGATCACTTCGACTTTTTCAGGGGGCATTTCGGGACTAGTTTGGGTCATAAATGTTGACAGATCAAATTTCATGACTACCTGGTACTCACGCCTTTTATTTTTTAAATAGTCTACAGTAGCCGTTAGACGTGACAAGTGCGAAGTAGTTTCCGAAAGTTTCTCAAAATCAAGAATTTGCAAAAGTGATTGCAGCAGTAGTTACACCTTGCATGTAAAGAGATTTTCGAAAGCAGTTTTTATTTTCGAAAATCGAACTTTCCGAAACTACTTTTGGTCTGTTTACACGGTGAATTCAAAAAATTCCTTTTTCTATGTCTATACACTGTCTACTGTCTATAACAAAATAACTGATCAGAATTTTTTTATTTAATGCTAAAATGTACTTTGTGCGGTCACAAAATGTTGGATAAATTAATATTTAAATATCTACCGCATATCAGGAGAAAAAATTCATTAAAATATTGTTAATATTTTAAACAAAATGTTTATAATTTCATACAAATTCGATAATCACTCGATTGTTTGGGCAAATAAATTTCAATTTCCAGAAAGCGAATTGCGTTGTTTCAGTTGCAGTTACACCTTGCAATTTTTATTTACGAAAGTGATTTCAGCAAATCTGCAAAAAGAACATTTTGGGTCTTTTCATGGGAAAATGGACTTTAGCTTATGCATTTTGAGAGTAAAATGCATAGAAAAAGCGCTTGCTTTAGCTTGCCAGTTTTCATCTAACAAATACAAACTACTATAAAAATATATGTATAAAATATGTGCACATTTGTTTGATCAGTTTGTGTCAAACCAAAACAAGTTTTTCATTTTAGAATTTAGATTTTGACCTACTACTATTCAACAACAAACTAGCTACATACCCTGTTGGGACCTCAACTAACTATAAATGCACTATATGTTCACTATTTTTCAACTAAGGGTGACTACGCCTCGACTACATTACGTTGAATTCAACTGACTACTTTTACATGTTGATGTCGCAAAAAAAAGACAGCTTGTTTTCAGCTAACTACAAATCGGTTATTAATAACTTCACTTGTAGTGTGCCAATTAATAGAATGTTTTTGGTGTCGTTGATTTGTATATTTATCTATTTTAGGTTAACTATTATCTCCATGATAACTATTTAGTTAGCTTGTGTTAAGACCTCTAAAGATGTGGTATTAACATACATATACATTAGGGTGCCCATCGAAAATGTTTTTTTTTTTGATATTTCAAGACCCTATCTCCTAATTTTATTCGTTTTTATGAGAAATATTATTGCCTACTCACTAGATTTTTTAAAGGTTATCTAGAGGTCGCAACCTGTCGATTTAGTTCAGAAAACACGATTTTGTAGATTTGTGAGTTTTTGAATGACTATTTTTGATTCGATTTCAATGATCGAATATGATCTGAGATGAGGATATATAGACCTTTAAAATGGGATATAATAATCTATTGGTGGACCTGGCTTGTTGGGATTTTTTTCGGGTAAAATAAAAGAAACCCCATATTTATCTTAATATTTTAAATTTTGACCATCGATAATTTCCACAATTGCAAAATACATATGTACTACTATCTAAAGTTAAATCTATTTTTAAAGAAACTGATAGCTCATTTATGTATTGCAATCGCATAAAAAAATTGCTTAAATACTACCTTGATTTGATATTGTTCATGTACCAGCCTTTCAGATTTTTGAGCGGAATTTTCTATTCGGAATATTTTTCCAATCTTCCTTGGGCAGAGACAAACACAAAAAAAAGCCAGCTCATATATGGCAATTCAATCTAGAGCTATGCTCGGTATTACGCAAGCACCTTCATTTTATACTTCTTTATAGAGATTTAAATTTTTATATAGTTGGCAACCCTCGTCAACATTATTACTTCTGGTTAAGAGTGCATTTAAATGCGTTCCATTCCCTGAATGCGTTGCAATATTTGACTCGATATATAATTAAAGCACTCAAATTTTAAGCGGGTGGCAACCCTATTAAAAGTTTTTATTTTTTACTTTAATCAGTCCTTCAAAATTGTGTTATGAAAAATAGTCATGTTTTTCAACTCTTCTCCAATTCAAAATGAGATATCATTCATTAAATTTTATAAAATATTAAAGGCGATATCGTTTGGTTACAGAAAAATTCCTTTTAGAAACAAGTATGTATATAGATAATTGTTTTAAATTTTTTGTTTTTGAAAATAAGTTTTTTGTCGAAGGTGAAAATTGTGAAACAATTTTACATACGTGCATACATACATATCCCCTCAACTGGGCCCTGCATGACTTTGAAACCAATTAAAAGTTAGCCGTAATAAGTTAGCCAAAAGTTGGCTATTTTAGTTGTCGACTACGAAATTCCCGACAGGGTACATA